GTAACAGCGAAAACTTAATCAGGACTTTCATTTAAAAACAAAAAAAGTTAAACCCAAACTAACCTTTTTCCCCAAATGAAAAATGTTTCATATCGGGAAAGGGTTTAAACCCAAAAGGGGATTTTATCTTCATTGCAGGGGCTTTTAAAAGGAAAAATTTTCTAAAAAAAGAAAATATTAATTTACCGTGTTAAAAAATTAACAATAAAAAAATTTGAAAGTCTTTTTTTTCTTTGTAAATCATTTTTGGGCAGTACCTCAAAAGTGTTTTTAAATTTTGGGAAAAACATCGGGAAATTTTGGAAAAATCGGATATGCCAATGGAATTGGGAGGGATTTTTGAGATAACTGTTTTGGCCCTCATTTCCCAAAAGATAATTTCCGTATTGTTGTGTGAGTAATAAACCAAAAAAAGGGGTTTTATAATTGTAATACAGTTTGATAAATTTTTTAAAATTTTTTTAAAATATTTCATGGCAATTTAAACTTTATATAAAGTAAATTTACAAAGTTTAAGGGCCATCCTTTTCCCTTTAAAGACAAGTGAAAAAAAAAACAAACCCAAAATTTGGGCAATAAGAAAAAAAAAATTTTTGGGGTTTTTTTAAATAATATATAAAAATCGTCTTTCTAGTTACATATATCTGGATTTTCATTTAGAATAATTTAGTGAGCTTTTTAAAATCAAACAAAAAAAATTTAAGTTATGAACGTTCTGTCTTTTTGTAAAACCAAAATTTTTTTAACAAAAAAAATGTTGTTTTTTTTTTCCTTTTGTGATCTTGCAAATAAAAAATTTTTTTTCTTCTTATCATTAAAAGTCCCAACCCGGTTTCTGCTGTTGGGAAAAATAAATTTTGTTTTTTGAGTTTTGTTTGATATCTTTTTTTTATTTTAAAAAAAATGTTGTTTAAACATATGATTTTTAATCAAAAACGGGTTATATAAAAAAAAACAATCTTTTATAAAGATCGTTTTTCTGTTGGAAAAGAAAGAAATTTTCATTTTTTTTTGGGCATAACCCTTAAAAGAAATTTTTTCTTTTAAGTGTTTTGTTAGTTTTTGTCAATTTTTTAAAATTTAAATTTTGGGAAAAAAAATGATTTTTTTGCCCTTTTTGTATCAGAACGGTGAAAAACATTATATCAATTTCATTTTAAATTTTATCATTGGAATTTTTAAAAGTTTTAAAAAGTTTTTATATTTTTGGGAAATGTTAAAAAACGTCTGTTGTGTACTTTACCATTGAAGGTTGTGTATTAAAGTCCAAAACTTACTTTCTCCCAAAATAAAAACGTTGGTTAATGGGTAAAATTTCAAGCTGAAAGGCAATGCCTTAAATACCAAAAGGGAAAAAGGTTCCCATTGTAAAAGTTTTATAATAATTTGAGATGGCCATGGACGCAAGTACACCATTGGAATAAAATATATAAAACATTACACAAGCAAAGTCAAAATCGGAATGATTAATAAAAAATCAAAAAAACGGGACAAACTTGTTATTTTATCTGGTTTCCCCAAAGGGGAATTTAAAAAAATGTCAGTTAGGGAAAAAAAGGGGTACCAGTAATTCCCTGTTATGAAAAAACTGATCTCAATATCTTATTTCCATTTTACTGTTTATTGAGTTATTTTTTTTCAAAATTTTTTTGATAAACTTTAAACGAACGGTCATCAAAAAACAATAAAAAAGTAGGGAATTTTTATATTACGTGTCATTTTGACACTTAACGAAACACACTAAAACACGCCAAAAAACCACAACCACAAAATAAAATAAAAAAACATCACAGAATTTGATGTGATAGACAGCGATATTAAACGTATACGTTTGAATCAATATATACATCTCATTTAATTTTCAAGCACATTTAGAGTGGCGGGCGTTTACAGATGTAGATCATTTAGAGTTCAATCAGGCATCTTAATTAAAATAAAAAATTAAAATATGCGTGGAAGTTGTAGAAATCTACTTGACCTTTGTGTTCGATTTTATCCTTTGACTCGTATGTGAATTATTACACCATGTGTTTTTGAGGTGATGCATGTTAACTGTGTTCCAGATTATGAATTACATACATATATGTCTTGAACATAAATTGTTTTAAAAAGGTAATGATTTCCCTTTTCCTTTTGTATGGTATACATCATCTCTACACTCTAAATACCATACAGGTATATATTATCTATTGTATACTGTAATTCCGTATTTAACAGTAATTTGAAATGTAATTGACATATTTTGGAAAGTGCATGTTGTTACTTGTAACAAAAATTATATTGATATATTTACCACATTTTTGGGGTTGATTGTACCATTTTTGTTATTCTTCTGACTGATTTGTAGGTCGGTAGTGAAGAGTCGTAGTATGTTTAAATTTACATATTTTAGTTTTTTAGTCTAAATAACAACATCATGATATAAAATAATAATCTCGTAAACGTAAAACTTTTGCATATGAAATTTGATAATTTGAAAGTATTATTTCCCGTTCCTCTACTGCTTGGAGGCCACCAAACCCGGACAACCACCAAAACCGAACGGCCATGAAAATGCTTAATTTAGTATTTTCTTTGTTCAGTGGTTATCAGTCACTTTTTTATCAACAATAAATGCATGTTTCTTCTACAATTTAGTAAATAAATTTATTTCAACCTCTGTAAATGGTAATATTTTATTGTCAATTTCAAGAATGTTGACATTGAAATTTGGGCGTCAAGAAAGCAATGCCTGATCTCATTTACCAGCTATAATCATTTGCAGAGTAAACAAGAGAATATCCAGAACTTCAGCATTTGTTGCTGAAATAATGTATATCATTTTAAAAATAAAAAATTAAAACACCCAAGCTTTTATCTGAATTTAATCACTTCATGTACATATCTGTCTGGACACATGGTACTGTTGTGTAGACAATTAGGTAATTTTGATACCCTCCTTGATGAGCCTCAGATATACGTGTCAATACAATTAGAAATAAACAAACTTGTTTGTTAGTTAGGAGAAGAACCTAGCTGAACTGTGTCAAATTTTTAGGCCTCTGGGTTGGAAATTATGAAATCTCTATTGAAAAATGTTCAAAAAGTGTCCGGTTGATGGTCCCCGACCAGTATCGCCTTGACAAATAATGCATTGTGGTATTTTATTTATATAAAATATAAGTCTTTGTAATATAAACAGAACAAAAAGTGATAAACAATACAATGGTCTATTGACAAGTTCTATATGTTTTACCTCTGATATCTCTTGTACAGGTCTATGATAAAAAAAGACGAATTCATTAATTGATCTCGACCCTAAACATTAATGTCATGTATATTGCCTCGTTAGTTGCTCTTTTTTATTTGTTACATCAATATTAGACTATTGTTTAATTATCTGGTTCTTTTAGTCGTTGAACTGCTTTTAATTCTAGAAAGAAGCAATCAGTTATCATAAAGGAAAACTTCTTTTGAAAATATAAATCATATATTTATAAAATTGTACCAAAAAAAAATATACTTAGCTTGATGAATATGTTAGTCAAACTGAAACCGTATTTTGGAAAGATTTACTTTTGCATAATAGAAAAGGCAAGGGTAAAAAGGAAAAAATAGGTCATTGACCTCCGGTTATGCGTGATTTAAAGAAACATAATTGTTCAATATAACTCTCAGAGTTGGCATTAGCTCATAAAATATTTATAGATGACCTATCATTGTCTTTGTTTGTTGACTAAAACAATTTTGTTCAATCTACTTCATGCGCATATAAAATTTTGTTTGACTTTTTTTTCTTCCCACGTTTTTATAATAAACAGAAACAACACGCTTTTGGTATTTGCTCTGCTTTCGTTTACGATGGGCGCACATTGTCAATAAGTATTTAAATTTTGATACAAAATAATAGAAATATATCATTTAAATATTCTTATGAAATATTTCTGAAAAACAAAAATGATTATAGAGTACTTTAGTGATTTAGTATGAACATTTATATGATGGGTAATATTTTATGTCCAACTACTATTTGAGCCGCGTCATGACAAAACCAACATAATGGGTTTGCGACCAGCATGGATCCAGACCAGCCTGCGCATCCGGAATTTAACAGAATTATGGCCCTTTGTTGATTTTTTCACTATATACTATGTGGAAATTTTGTGAACGCAACTCCTCTTAAACCGGATGGCAGATTTTTGCTTAAACTTCCAGGGAATAACAACCTTAATGTGTAGATGGTAGTAAAGGAAGGAATTTTTGCTGCGACCAAATTTAACAGAATTATGGCCCTTTGTTGATTTTTAGTTTTCAACTTGTGGCACATGTAGTCCAAAAATGTTTGACCTAGAGTCATAAGATTGACAGAACAGTGGCGTGTGGGGGCATCCGTGTCCTATGGACACATTTCTAGTTCATATAGGATCATGCATCTCACACTTACAATCAACATTCATGTTAATACGCAAAAACTTTCGTGGTTAGTTTTCATGTATGATACTAAATATTCATAATCATCATACTTATTATGTTATTAAAGATCTTAGTTATATACCAATTGTTATAGACCATTGTTAAAACTGAGACTACGTACAAAAATTATTGATATGGTTCTTTCATTCGTTGTACTGCTTCTTTTGAACATTTATTTCTAACAGTTAATAAAGATAAACAAAATATTTGAGTATTTAATTGTGTTGCGCTTCCTAACCAATAAGAATATAGTTCAATTTGTCGTTTGACTCGTTTTTAATCTGACTTTGATGCAACTTATCTTATGATTGAACTACATTAAAATGGAAATATCTATCGAAGTATTCTTAAAAATGCAATTAGAAACTGCAGTCATGTTCATAAAATAATATTTTGTTATGACTAGTCTGAGGGCTGACAACTGCTAAAGCCTGTGTTTGAAATATAATATGTTTCTTTCTTACTTGTTGTTTGTAAGGGGCTTCGTTCATTTGTTGTTTGTTAGGGGCTTCGTTTATTTCTTGTTTGTTAGGGACTTCGTTCATTTGTTATTGGTTAGGGACTTCGTTCATTTCCTGTTTGTTAGGGGCTTCGTTCATTTGTTGTTGGTTAGGGACTTCGTTCATTTCTTGTTTGTTAGGGGCTTCGTTCATTTCTTGTTTGTTAGGGGCTTCGTTCATTTCTTGTTTGTTATGGACTTCGTTCATTTGTTGTTGGTTAGGGACTTCGTTCATTTCTTGTTTAGTGGAGGCTTCGTTCATTTGTTGTTTGTAAGGGGCTTCGTTCATTTCTTGTTTGTTAGGGACTTCGTTCATTTGTTGTTGGTTAGGGACTTCGATCATTTCTTGTTTGTTAGGGGCTTCGTTCATTCCTTGTTGGTTAGGGGCTTCGTTCATTTTTTGTTGGTTAGGGGCTTCGTTCATTTCTTGTTGGTTAGGGGCTTCGTTCATTTGTTGTTTGTCAGTGGCTTCGTTCATTTCTTGTTTGTTAGGGGCATATTTCATTTGTTGTTTGTTTTGAGCTTCGCTTATTTGTGGTTTGTTTTGGGCTTCGTTCATTTAACGTTTGTTTTGGGCTACGTTCATTTAGTGTTTGTTAGGGGCATATTTCATTTGTTGTTTGTTAGGAGTTTCGTTCATTTGGTGTTTGTTTGTTAGGGGCATATTTCATTTATTGTTTGTTAGGTGTTTCGTTCGTTTGTTGTGTGTTAGGGGCTTCGTTCATTTGTTGTTTGTTAGGGGCATATATCATTTGTTGATTTTTAGAGGCTCCGCTAATTTGTTGTTTGTTAGAGGCTATGCTCATTTAATACCTCATTTCCTTGTTGGTCTTTGTTTTCAAATTCAGTTAAGTGATTATTATGTTAGAATATGATATTTCTAAATGACTTCTGTATTTTTATAAATGCGATTTCAATGATCATAAGTACAACATGTCTGCCAAAATATTTGAAATGATGGTGTAGACCGTATGAAATTTATTTTTAATGCATCAGAATTGCAGATAATAGACAATTCTCTGCAGTAAAACATTATTGTATATCAGGCTGATTTTATCGCCTGCTTTTGAATCTATTTCTGTAGAAATTTGAGTATTTCCTTCTAAAACTTAACTCATTAGGAAGTGCACTCATCAATATTCCATTTTCATTTTTGTAAACAAATATTGTGTTCAGGAACTATTATCTCCAAATAGCTTTGTTATCGTTTTTGCGTATTCATATGAAATTATGCGTGAACATCATTTTTTCTTCTATGATATATTGGTATATATCATATTAAATTAAATCATTTAAATGATTTTCCGAAATTATTAGGGAAACATATTGCATACATTTTGATTTATTTTACAGCCTATCACTAATGACGTGTTAAATTTTTATATTCCCAATATATTTTAACGATTCTTGTTTTGCTTTTCAGATATATTTATGAAGTAAATAATATTGCAGTTATCATATTTATCTCTTTCATTAGTTGGTATGTTATAAAATTGCATATTAATACACAAACGAATTTGTAAAAGTTTATGAACCAGGTTTTCAATTTTGTTTCCTTGTTTTGATATTGATGTAAGGGCGGCGTCAGCCGAGGTGGTTTCTGGTCAGAAAGTAACGTTCAGATTAACTTACCTAAATCACACTTTGTAAGAAGACTTTCCTTATAATTGCTTTTGGGTACCCAAGGGTTAAGACCAGGTAAGAAACAGTTTCCGGTCAATAACTTAAGTTTGTGATAAGATATTTCAATGAACAAGTTTATGTAAAGCTTCTTCGGTATTGCATTTAAGCTCCCCACGGGTTAAAGTCAAGATAACTATTGTTAAAATTCTGATTTCTCGGCATTTCAACGTGTCTTTTAAAATGATAAGAATAATATATAATAATGATGATCAATCTTCACACCGGTATTTTATATATCATAGTAATTTTACATTTATCAGAGAAATATCTGAGAAATACATAATTATTTTTTTAATATGGTTACATTGTTTACTTTATAAAACATAAACTGTATATTTTATGGATATAAAAAGTAGTTCAAACATTATTTATTGTCTTATTATCATAACAAATAATACTACTACTACTGACGATGACGACAACGATTGCATCCACTATAGCCTCCACCACCAAGAACAACAACTGTTACTTCAGCTTTTAATAAAAAGTCCGTCAAAAATAAACCAGATATCATTTTTTATGTAAATAAAGATACCGTTAAAACCACAAAACAGCACTATTGAAATTGTGTCAGGTTCGGTTTGGTAATGCTTATTTTTTATATATGGTAGGGAAAAGTGCCAGCTACCTTCCACTCCCCTTGCACAACTAAAGTTTTCAAATTACATTTAGAAATAAAAATGGTGGTTGACGTTAAGAAGAATATATAAGTTTAACGGGAAGCATAAGTGTTAAAACAAATCAGTTGACTAGAATTTTCGTAGGTTAATGTAATTCACAGACACAAAATAATATGTAACTCTGCCTGATAAACAACGTTTTATTTGCCTGTATTTACTCAATCTGCATATTGTTGGTTATTAGATAAGGACAAATAAGAAAATCGGTGTTTTGTAATAACTGATGATTGACCTGCCGTTAGAAATGATTTCCAGTTTTCTATTTCGTAATTGGGATTTATATTCGGACAAAATCATTTTACCCTTTAAGTTATATGAATTAGATCATAAATCAAATATTGTCCTCAGGAACTATTGAATGTAGTATTGATTTGAGCCGTGCCACGACAAAGCCAACGTAATGCGTTTGCGACCAGCATGGATCCAGACCAGCCTGCGCTTCCGCGCAGTCTGATCAGGATCCATGCTGATCGCTATCAGTTTCTCTACTTGTTATAGCGTTTTTAGCTCACCTGTCACAAAGTGACAGGGTGAGCTTTTGTGATCGCTTTTCGTCCGGCGTCCGTCCGTCCGTCCGTCGTCCGTCGTCCGTCCGTAAACTTTTGCTTTAAATGACATCTCCTCATAAACCACTAAGCCAATTTCATCCAAACTTCACAGGAATGTTCCTTTGGTGGTCACCTTTAAAAATTGTTCAAAGAATTTAATTCCATGCAGAACTCTGGTTGCCATGGCAACCGAAAGAAAAATCTTTAAATATCTTCTTTTAAACAACCCTAAGAGCTAGAGCTTAGATATTTGGCATGAAACATCTTCTAGTGAGTGTCTACCAAGTTTGTTCAAATAAAAGCCCTGGGGTCAAAATTGGCCCCGCCCCAGGGGGTCATTGATTTTCCCTATATGCATATAGTAAAAACTTAAAAATCTTCTTTTAAAGAACCCAAAGAGCTAGAGCTAAGATATTTGGCATGAAACATCTTCTAGTGAGTGTCTACCAAGTTTGTTCAAATAAAAGCCCTGGGGTTAAAATAGGCCCCGCCCCGGGGAGTCATTGATTTTCCCTATATGCATATAGTAAAAACTTAAGAAATCTTCTTTTAAAGAACCGTAAGAGCTAGAGCTTAGATATTAAGCATGAAACATCTTCTAGTGAATGTCTACCAAGTTTGTTCAAATAAAAGCCCTGGGGTCAAAATTGGCCCCGCCCCAGGGGGTCATTGATTTTCCCTATATGCATATAGTAAAAACTTAAAAAATCTTCTTTTAAAGAACCCAAAGAGCTAGAGCTAAGATATTTAGCATGAAACATCTTCTAATGAGCGTCTACCAAGTTTGTTCAAATAAAAGCCCTGGGGTCAAAATTGGCCCCGCCCCAGGGGGTCATTGATTTTCCCTATATGCATATAGTAAAAACTTAAAAAATCTTCTTTTAAAGAACTCAATAAGCTAGAGCTAAGATATTTAGCATGAAACATGTTCTAATGGGTGTCTACCAAGTATGTTCAAATAAAAGCCCTGGGGTCAAAACTGGCCTCGCCCGGGGGGGGGTCATTGATTTTCCTTATATGTGTATAGCAAAAACTTAAAAATCTTCTTTGAAAAAACCCAAATAGCTAGAGTTTAGATATTAAGCATGAAACATCTTTAAGTAAATATCTACAAAGTTTGTTCAAATAAAAGCCCCGGGGTCAAAACTGGCCCTGCCCCAGGGGTGTCATTGTTTTTAACTATATGTGTATAGTAAAAACTTTAAAAATCTTCTTTTAAAAAACCCAATGAGCTAGATGTTTAGCATGAAACATCTTCTTATGGGTGTCTACCAAGTCTGTTCAAATAAACAAATAAAAGCCCTTGGGTAAAAATTGGCCCGGGGGTGGGTGGGGGGGGGGGGGCTTTATACAGGTGAGCGACCTCAGGGCCATCATGGCCCTCTTGTTAAGCGAATAGCATGGATCCTGATCAGACTGCGCGGATGCGCAGGCTGGTCTGGATTCGAGCTGATCGCAAACCCATTATATTTATTTTGTCTTGACGCGGCTCATTTGTAAATCTGTTGATTGTCCGGAACGTCCGAACTAAGTTCTAAAATATTTTATTTTTGCCAGCACTCTCGTTCATAATGCTTATATTTGACTCACTTTTCCGTGAACCTTGGATTAAACACATACAAGCTACTTTGTTAAGTACAGTTTCCCTTTTTCATACTGAACGAAGACCTCAAGATTCGTAGATATTTTATACGTAACATTTTAGCACATAATTACGAACAATAAAAATCTATTTTTGAAAGTTCAAATAACTTTTATGAATTTTCCTAAATTAACAATATGAGCCGTGTCACGACAAAACCAACATAAAGGGTTTGCGACCAGCATGGATCCAGACCAGCCTGCGCATCCGCGCAGTCTGATCATGATCCATGCTGTTTGCTATCAGTTTCTCTACTTGTAATAGGGTTGGTAAGCGAACAGCATGGATCCTGATCAGACTGCGCGGATGAGCAGGCTGGTCTTGATCCATGCTGGTCGCAAACCCATTATGTTGGTTTTGTCGTGACACGGCTCATATGAGAAATGATTGACAATTTAGTATTTGCATAATCACAATTAGTCTTTTTTCCAATATAATTCTTAATTTTTAACGATTGAGCTTAGCGAGACAGCAAAATATTCAGGGGGATTTTATTTCAAAGCTATGAAATTACCTGCTACCCGTTCCTAAACGATAAACCTAAGTGAATTATTTGCTCTATAAATGATTTCCGAATCATCGAATACTCCTTTTATTTAATATATTGAGCTTTTAATAAGAGTTATATAGATCTCTTTGAAAACATAGTGAAAACCGAAGTGAAATGCCAACTTTAAAAATTACACAAATGATTAATATTAATAATAATAATAATAATAATAATAATAATAATAATAATAATAATAATAATAATAATAATAATGCAAAACCATTGTTCATGCCAATTTTTACTGAGACAAAATTAATATTTTATATTCATTAGTGAAATGCGCAAACGTTGCCATTTTATGTTATAAAATGTGCACCTGTTAAGTAACAGTTTTGCGCAAAGACTGATATATTTGCGAGATTTACACTAACAGCGAAAGCTAAATCAGGACGTGCATTGAAATTAAAACAAAGTTAAACAAACTGACACCTCTGATTCAGAATTCTAAACTGAAAA